AAAAAGAAAATGAAGCCGGGCTCGGTGGCTCAGCCTATAATCCCGCGCCTTTGGGAGGCTGAGGTGAGTGGATTGCCTGAGCCTGCGGGTTCGACACCCGTCTGGGCAGCGAGACCTCATCTCTACAATAAATCAAAAAATCAGCCGGGCATGGTAGCACACGCCTGTAGTTCCAGCTACTCGGAAGGCTCGCCGGAGCCCAGCAGGCGAGGCTGCGGTGGCCGGGAGCGACCACTGCACTCCAGTCTGGGTGACAGAGTGAGACTCCAACTCAAAAAAAAAAAAAAAGAAAAGAAAAAGAAAAAGAAAATAGAGACAGGGACAAGAGACAGAGATAGAGAGATGAGAGAGACATAGAGAGCCAGAGATGAGACTGAGACTCAAAGAGACAGAGACACAGAGATGAGAGACAGAGAGAGAGACATAAAGAAATGAAAGACAGAGAGAAGAGAGAAGACAGAAAGAGCAAGAGAGGAGAAAGACTTGGCAAGGGAAACAGAGAAAGACAGAGACAGAGATGGAGAGAGAAATAAGGAACACAGAGAGAGACAGTCACAAACACACAGGGGGGAGGGGGCAGTGAGGATGAGGGACAGTGAGAGCTAGGGACAGCAGGGACAAGGGACAGCGAGGGAACAGATAAGGAAAGAGGGTGATGGAAACAGACGGAGGGAGGGACGGGCATCCCGGCAGCAGGTGGGGTCCAGAGAGGGCTGGAGGGGACGTGAGCCCCTGGAGACCTGGGAATATTGGGGAAGCAGCCAAGACCCCCATGACTTGAGGGGGGTGTCAGGCAGAGGGATGTGGACTGGGGTGGCAGCTGGGAGTGAGTCACTTCCTGGACCAAAGGGGAGGACTGACTCACCACGCTGTCGCCCCAATTCACCCTGGAGGAGGCTCCCAAGTGAATTCCGGGCTGGGTCACTGTAAGCCCAGCTTGGCGGGTGTCTGGGGCAGACTGGAGATTCCCGGTCAATCAGCTCCTGTCCCCAAACTTGGCACACTTCAGCGTGGTGGAAAGCAAAGAACCCCCCCCACAATCCCCTCCCAGCTGTGGGGTAAACTGAGGCTACAATGCCCCAGCATGCCCCCCCCCACGTCAAAATTCCTTTCTTCTTCCTCTCTGGCCACAGGGCTTGGCCAGTTCCCACCCTCGGCCAAGACCCAGTTCCTCTTTGCGGGGCATACCACAAAACGTCCTTCCCTTGAAAGATGGGACCCAGGCTTGGTCCGTCTCCAGCTCCCAAAGCCCAGACAACTCCTCTAAAGCTCAAAACCTCCCCAGGAGGCAGGGGCTGTTCTCTCCACTTCTGTCTCTCTGTGTCCATTCCCCAGAAGGAACGACAGAGGCTCGGAGGCCAGAAACGAGACCAGGAAGAATCCAGTGAACAGGAGAGGCAGGTGAGGGCGGAACTGAAACTGAGCAGCTGAGGGCTGAGGTCCCCAAGCCTGGCTCCTTCACACCAGTCCCCACCGCCTGGGCTGAGCCGGGCTCCACCCCTGCCCTGAGGCTGCCAGGCCAGGCCATCAGGGGCCTTGGAAGTTGCTCAAACAGGAGCCGAGAGAAGTTGCAGTTCTGGTTTGAATTCCATCTGTTTTGCATTCCCTGCCCCAGCCCTGGGCCATGAGATTCCTGCCGAGGAACCCTGGGATGAGGGCGGGGTGGCCCCCTTCCTTGCACCTCCTGCCAAGGACCCCCCAGGCCGGCCATTGTCTTACCCAGAAATTATTATGAATAATAATCATAACCTTACAATCCTGTTTACTTCATTCTTCCTGTGAGCAGAGTTGTCTGCGGACGGCTCCCTTTCCCTTAACCCTTCAAGCCATCCTATAAGGTGGAAGCTGGCCTGGCTCCATTTTACAGATGAGGCAAGTGAGGCCCAGAGGCTCTGAGACGTGGCCCGGGGACACCGGCCAGGCAGGGCACGAAGCACCCGGAAGCCAGGCCTTGGCAGCTGCTCCCAGCAGGTGTGCCCTGTGCGCCGGCGGGGGGGGGGGTGTTTCTGGGGGGTTCTGTCCTTCCTCCCAGGGCCAGGGGGCGCAGGCTGACACCTGCGGCCCAGGCTGGGACGGGGTAGCCGTGTCCCTGCAGTCCCACTGTCAGTCCTGGTTTTCACCCCAAAGCCACTTCTCCTGCGTCCGGCAACTGCCCCGATAACCGTTAGAGCCACCTTGGGTGGGGCGGGAAGGGAGATCCCTGGGGAAAGTCACAACCCACCAG